GTCTGCATCGGGTTCATTGAGGAGGATGCGAACCCGCCACGTGCGTACTACATGCACGCGGAACACCCAGAGGAGAACATCCGCGACCTGAAGGCCCTGCTGCGCTACGACAAGCTCAAGAAGGAGGAGATACCCGTGTTCAGCGCGGTGGATCTCCTGCAGTACCTGCCCAAGATCGAGCCGCTGGCAGTGGGCACCGTCTTCAAGCGTTACGCTCCACACCAGCCGCAGTGGGAGGGCCACTATGTGTTAATGGAGGGGCTCACCTGGGAGAATATGGCCGAGTTCAAGTGGTCCGACCTCTACGCGCAGGTCGCCTGGGGATTGAACGACCCAGAGTGGGCGGGGTACAGCAAGAAGGCGCGGAACAAGGCCAAGAGGGAGCGCCTGGAGATGGCGTACAGGGAGCTGGCGCTCTACGAGCGCCGCCACAACCTGCGGGAGGGCAGCCTCACGGGCGGCGGGGGTGGCACAGGGGTCGCCCCGCGTGCCACCCCCGTCCGCGCCGCCAGCGCCCCCCCAGCGGGTGGGGCCCGCGGCAGCCAGGACCCGCCGCCACCGCCTGTCGGAGTCCCGCCAGCGACCGCGGCCATCATGGCACCCCCTCCGCCGCCGCCGCTGACGCCCCCCCCAGCGGTGCCGCCGCCGCCGACGGGCCCGCCGCCGCAGACGAACCCGATCCCGCAGCAGATCGCAATTGCTGCAGCCCTGAACGTGGCCCTCGGTGAAGACCTCGAGCGCCAGATCTTTGGGCCCTCAGGGCAGGCGGGCGGCAGCGGTGACCTCGGTGGGGAAGTGCAGGCGCTGCCGTCGCAGGTCTTCGCGGCCATTGCGCAGGGAGCAGGCCAGCCTGCCTGAAGGATGAGGCCCAGCAAACACTAGGCCCTCGACAGGCCACGTGAGTTCTTGCCAAGATGCCTTGCGTGCCATGCTCAGTAGGGGGGCGCGCCCGCAGTGGCACCCCCCTCGCGTGGCTGCGCCTGTGGCCTTAGCCTCTGCGTGGCGTATGGTCACCCGTGCGCCCAGCTACTCTGGCCCGCCAGCTGGTTGGCCATCTTGGCCTCCTCTCACGCCCACTTGCGCTCGTGGGCCTCGCTGGCGGTGCTGGGGCCGCCCCGTGTACTCCCGCGTCGCCGTCGGGCGCTTGGCCATTTTGGCTTGCCATCTTGGCTTCCTCTCGCGTCTTCTTGCGCTAGTAGGCCTTGATGGCGGTACTGGGGTCGCCCTGTGTGCTGCTCTGCCGCCGCTTGCGCTTCACTTTGGGCTGTAGGGGCCAGCTGCCCTCGGCTCGGCGCCTGCCGCTGCATGCACGTCAGGCCCGCCCTTGGCTTGCCATCCTGGCCTCTCCTCGCGCCTTCTCGCGCTAGGTGGCCTGGATGGCGGCGCTGGGGTCGCCCCGTGTGCTGCTCTGCCGCCGCTTGCGCTTCACTTTGGGCCGTTGGGACCAGCTGCCCTCGGACAAGCGCCTGGCGCTGCAAACACGTCAGACCCGCCCTTTCACCCATAAGATGTGCCCGTTACATACTGGCAATGAGGCAGCCACAAGGACGCTCTTCCCTAGGTGGTTGAGCCGTGGTGATGTGGTGCGCGAGACCGCGAGTAGTAGTAGTAGTCGTAGTAGTAGCAGTAGTAGTAGTAGTAGTAGTAGTAGTAGTAGTAGTAGTCGTAGTAGGAGTAGTAGTAGCTGTCGTAGCAATAGTATTCGTAGTAATCGTCGTCGTCGTCGTCGTCGTCGTAGTAGTAGTAGGTAGGTAGGTAGGTAGGTAGGTCGGTCGGTCGGTCGGTCGGTCGGTCGGTCGGTCGGTCGGTAGGTAGGTAGGTAGGTAGGTAGGTAGGTAGGTAGGTAGGTAGGTAGTAGTAGTAGTAGTAGTAGTAGTAGTAGTCGTCGTAGTAGTCGTAGTAGTACGAGTCGTCGTCGTAGTCGTAGTCGTAGTAGTAGTAGTAGTAGTAGTAGTAGTAGTAGTAGTAGTAGTAGTAGTAGTAGTAGTAGTAGTAGTAGTAGTAGTAGTAGTAGTAGTAGTAGTCGTAGTAGTAGTAGTAGTAGTAGTAGTAGTAGTAGTAGTAGTAGTAGTAGTAGTAGTAGTAGTAGTAGTAGTAGTAGTAGTAGTAGTAGTAGTAGTAGTAGTAGTAGTAGTAGTAGTAGTAGTAGTAGTAGTAGTAGTAGTAGTAGTAGTAGTAGTAGTAGTAGTAGTAGTAGTAGTCGTAGTAGTAGTAGTAGTAGTAGGAGTAGTAGTAGTAGTAGTAGTAGTAGTAGTAGCCGTCGTAGCAGTGGTAGCAGTAGCAGTAGCAGTAGCAGTAGCAGTAGCAGTAACAGTAGCAGCAGGAGGAGGAGAAGGAGGAGGAGCAGGAAGAAAGGGATGCTGGGGAGGATGAGGAGGAGTGCGGAGGAGGAGGTAATAGAAGGATGAGGAGAATGATGAGGAGCAGGAGGAGGATGATGATGATGAGCAGGAGGATCAGACAGGAGAAACATGTGCGATGGGGGGACAATGGGTAGGTGTAGCGGGGCGGGACACGACGAGCGGTGCGTGGATGAGCGAAGAGATGTAGGAGAAGAAAGTGAGAGTGAGCATTGAGAAGAAGGAGGCAAGAGAAGCAGGAATGAGGACGAGCTGAACGGAACAGGAGCATGGTGGTACGTATGGGGCAGCAGCGGCGACGACGACAATGCATGATGATGCTGATGAAGAGGATGAGGATGATGATGATACTGATGATGATCACGATGATAACGATGATGAGGATGATGATGATGATGATGATGATGATGATGACGCTGTTGATGCGGATGATGATGATGATGATGATGATGATGATGATGATGATGATGATGATGATGATGATGATGATGATGATGATGATGATGATGATGATGATGATGATGATGATGATGATGATGATGATGATGATGATGATGATGATGATGATGATGATGATGATGATGATGATGATGATGATGATGATGATGATGATGATGATGATGATGATGATGATGATGATGATGATGATGATGATGATGATGATGATGATGATGATGATGATGATGATGATGATGATGAAGAGGAGGAGGACGAGGAGGACGAGGAGGAGGAAGAGGATGAGAGTGAGGATGAGGAGGAAATGAGGAGCGAGGATCATGAGAGGCGATAGGAAGGAGGAAGAGATGAAATGAGGGGGTTTAATGCGAAGGATGATCTTGATGAGGACGGTGGGAATGGACGGCAGGAGGCAGCAGTATGCAGCGGCAATCACAAGCACGCAGCAGCACGCGTCAGCAATCATCACCGAGCAGCATCAAGCAACCGGTAACGTCGGCAATCAACAGCATCCTCGGCAAGCGGATCAGGCAGCAGCGCTCCCCAAGGCCCGGACGGTGTCCCATCTCTTTTAATGCAGTCTTTCGTCTCAGGATCTCTGTGCCCGCTTCGCGGCACACCATTCCGACATTTCCTTATCCACCCTGGCAACCTGGGATGTGCATCTGCTTCTGCCTCTGCACTAGGCTGAGACCAGCTCTGGCTAGCTCATCATAGCTTGTCCTGGCTCCCTCTTGGTAGTGACACATTTTTTTGTTTGCGTCGCAGCGCGGCAGAAGCAGTCCGCACGCGCGTCAAAGCAACCCTGCCTACGGTGTTGCGAATTGTCCCGCATGCAAAAGGGGGACGGAGAAGACGAGGGACGGCCGCGGACAAGCAGAAGCGAAAAACGGAGACGCACTCACACGGCGAAGCCGCGGCGGGGCTCGCGGGGGGGCCGAGCTCGTGGGCAGCCCCTGGCAGCGGGCGCGGGGCGGCATCGCGGGCGCACCCAGGGGAAGGACCACCGGCTGCAGTGCAGGGCGAGGCCCAGAAAGGCGGGAGGTGCCGGAGTTGCAGGGCCGACGTCGGTCCCATCCGTCAGAGCGGGAAGCGGTGCAGCGGCTGTGGAGGCTGCGCGTAAGCTGCTGCGGCGGACCAGGAGTTGGGTGGCTCGCCGGGCGGGCGGCGCAGCGTTGCGGAGGCGGAGGGCGACCGCAGTGCGGGGAGAGCAGGGAACCGCGAGGAAGAAGGCGCGAAGAGGCCAGGCGTAGCCAGTCGGCCATAGGGAGCCACGAGACCCGGGCTGGGTAGTGGCACGTGCTATATCATACGTTGCAGTTGACTCTACATACCGTACACACATTTTACGCACCCTCTCCCCGCGCACCTCATCTTAAAGTGTGTAGCACATGCTTCCGATGCCTACTCGCAGTCTGAGGCTCGTCCAGGGTCACGGTTGTTTTTTCCCAAACAGTGCTTGCGAGTAGGGGTTCTTGCTTCTGTTCTACGGAGTTGGGCCGTGTCTTCGGTCTGGCGGCTATGTGGCCCTCGTCATTGCCCCGTCGCCTTCTCGTCGCTGCCCGTTGCCCAGGCCGTGTTTTCGGTCTGGCGGCTATGTGGCTCCCGTCGCCTCCCTGTCGCCGCCTCGTTGCCGCCCTGGATTGTACACCGTGAATCTTACCGCGTAGCTCTTGCCTTTTGCGCACCCGTTTCTCCCCCCTCCTCCTCCTCCTCCTCCTCCTCCTCCCCCTCCCCCTCCTCCTCCTCCTCCTCCCCCTCCTCCTCCTCCTCCTCCTCCTCCCCTCCTCCTCCCCCTCCCCCTCCTCCTCCTCCTCCTCCTCCTCCTCTTCCTCCTCCTCCTCCTCCATGGCTGACCCTTCGCATGGTGGAGTTCCTTTTCCCTCAGTGGGAAAGCTGGCAATTAGCATCCTCCCCGTCTGGCGCTCATGGAAACACATCGATTGCACCACGTAGAGAGCATCTTGCAACACATAGTTTTGACACAACATAGGTTGTATAACCATGTTAACACCACATAGATGACAAAACATCGATTGCTAGAAACACACTGTTTGTCTGTTTGGGGTCCACGCTGGCTAACATTTTCATCATTATGTTCGCCTGGTGATGTTCTCGTTGTCTTGAATATGACGCCTTGAAGCCAGCAGTTATGGTTACATTCTGACGCCGTGTGTTGCTGCAGGTGGGAGCCTCTTCGGCGCTCTTTACGAGTCCTCGCTGCACTTGTCAATCAGGCCAGGGATAGAGGGGATGGGGTTTGGTGGGGATGCTCACATTTAGTGGATGCACAATCGGGGCGACCGTATCTTTATCAGCCAAGAGTGGTGCCAGCGATGATGAGACAGTTGCCGAATCCGAGCAGGCGAGTGCGTCCCTTCGCTAACCTTCCCCCCATGTCCCCCTTCCTCACTCCCCCTTCCCGCTCCCTGGCAACTTCAGAACATGTCCAGGTGCTTGCGGCGAATCTACCACTGTGCCAGCGCATCATTCTGTGTGTTGAGCAGCCGGGCACCGCCCAAAAAGCAGTCACATGTGACACCTCTCGTCTCTACTTTCCGAGAAACTCATGGGGACTATTTGGGCAGTCTTTGGGCTGTCTTGGGGGTTCTTTGTGGCCCTCTTGCTTTGGGGCCCTCTTGAGCCGTCTTCGGGCCTTCTTCGGCTGTCTTGAGAGTGGGCTGTCTGGGAGGCCTCTTGGACGTCCGGGCGATCTCTTGGGGCATTCTCTGGCAGTCTAGGGCCCTCTTGGGTCGTCTTGGGTCCCTCAGGAGGCGCTCTTGGTCCAGCTTGGGGCTGCCTTGGGGCTGTCTTGGGGCCGTCCTGGGCCGTCTAGGGGCCCTATTAGAGTTCTCAGTTGGTTCATTGGGGCCCTCGAGGACCGCAGGTACACCGATCTTCGACAGACGAGCGTGGATTGCGAACCACATTGAACGCATGCTTGCCAGCCAGTGTGGACCCCAGTCAGCAAGTTTGTGAGTTCTGGACACGGAAGCTATGTCGTGCAAGCTTCGTGGTGCAATTAATTCTGCCCAACTTGAAGTCGTCAGCTCCACTGCTCGTATAAACATCCCACAGCCCCACCCGCAACTTGTCGGCAACGGTCATGTGGCCATGAGCCCAACCGTGCAAAGAATTCCACCCCCCAGGTCGCGATATGGTGGTGGCGATGGTGGCGGGTGACGCCAACGACGATGGCGATGACAGTGGTGATTACGCTGATGCCGATGGCAATGACAGCGAAGATGGGGGCGATACGATGTCGACGACGACGAGGGTGATGGTGATAATGATAAGCTGATGGAGATGATAAACACGGTTGTAATAATGACGCTGGCGATGATGATGATGACGATGATGTTGGTGATCGAGATTCTGATGCTGATGATGCTGCTGCTGTCGCCGGTGACTTAGTACGTTACCGCGCAGACCTTGAACGAGGGCGACAGTGTCGACGATGACAACGACGACGGCGGCCGTGAGGATCCCGACGCTGATGATAATGATGATGGTGGTGGTGATGATGATGTTGATGATGATGAGGATGATGATGATGATGAATGATGACGGTGGTGGTGATGATGGTGGTGATGATGACGATGACGACCACAATGACGATGATGGTGACAAAGACGATGACGATGACGATGATGATGCTGCTGATGATGATGATGATGATGATGATGATGATAATAGTGATAAAGCTGATGATGAAGATGATGATGATGACGATGACGATGACACCCGCGATGATGTTAATGACTGCGCTGATGCGGATGATGAGAAAGTGCGCGCTCGCAGAAGCCACGGCATCCTGACACGATTTCGATGTGCGCGCGGAGACGTGCGCGTGTGGCCAGCATCGTGCTACTTGACAGAGCCGGTGGGCGCGCGATGGTGGTTTAACGTTTTCGACATGCGCGCGCGTGTGGCCCAGATGGCCTGATGTGACAAACCAGCTGAAGACAAACGGCTTTCTCAAGCTTTCAGCGGGCCCTCGAGCGCAGATTTCGGGCATTTTGGTTGAAGAGTAGTACAGCTTTTCATTGTTACACGTTGAAAAGCTTGCAGAACTGTTGTGTGTGTGGTTCCGCTGCGCGTTTCGTTTGGATTTACAGCTCCCCTTTCACACCACCCATTCCTGCATTTGCCAGTGTGCACGTGCAGTGGCTTTAGCGCCCGCTGGCCTCCCTAGTGTATCAAGCAGCAGTCCGGCGGCCTCAATTTCGCCTCGTGGAACATTTAGGCGCTACTGGGTCGCAGCGCGAGTTGATCGCGCAGCAGGCGGCCCGCGGCAGCTCCGCCAACCTTCCGATCTTCGCCGAGCCCACCGAGCACAACTACAAAGCATTCTACTCCGCTTGCGATGGGGGCGGAGAGACCGCTGGTGGTGTTGGCTTCCTGGTGCCATGCGACAAGCAGGAACTCCGTCTTCCCGAACAAGAGCGCCTTCTTCATTTTTCCGTATCGCCCCTGGACGTATAGCCGAGTTTCGCGTTCTCGGCGGATCGCGCGCCCGCGAGACCGCCGTGTTCATCGCGTGCAACCGCGAGCTGACAGCCGAGGACAGACAGAAGTTCAAGCGCGCCTGGGACATTGCCCGTGCTCGCGTTGCTGCTGGCGCTGACGCGCGCAACCGCATCCTGATCGGCGCCTTCAACATCTCCAAGCTGCCACCCAAGGGCCTCCCGCGCAAGTTCGACGCCGCCGCGGCGGATCGCTGCCAGTGCCAGCCTTCGTTATGGAAACGGATCCTCGCATCAATGATGGAGGTTGCTGCCCTCGCTGCCGCCCGCCGCTGCTCGGCTAGCGTGGCGGAGACCGCCGTCGATCGCCGCTTCGTCTCCACCGCCGCCCGCGACGCCCCGCGCCTGGAGGTCCACCTGGCCGTCGGCGGCCGCCCGCTGGAAAATGCTGGCGAGCCTGCTAGTGACCATGAAGCGCTGCATCTTCGTCTCCGTCCTCCGGCGCAACGCCCGCCTGCGGAGAGAGGCATTCCTGCCTTCATCTTCGACTCCAAGCACTGCGGGTTCGACTTCTCGCGTTTCCTGAGCATGGTTGATAGGGCGGACATCGACCCGTCCTTGAAATTGCGCGCAACGAAGCGCATCCTGACCCTGGCGTCGCAGACGATCGCGACGCCCTCGTTCAGATGCACCCCGCAGAGCTGAAGGATATCGACCCGCGCATCTGTCAAGACGCGCCAGCCACGACGCTGCGCAGCACCGCCCGCGCCGCGTGGTTCTAGGACTATTGGCTCGCCATGTCGCTCGCCGCGGGCGCCGAGGCTGGCGCCGCCTGGCGCCCGGTCGACAGCGGTGGGATCTCCGTCTCCAACGCCGCGACTTCGCGGCGGAGGTCGATTCCGTGCACCTGGCTCTCCCTGACAAGCGTCGCCAAGAAGCGGCCGGTCGCTCTCGGGCTGCCTTCCGGGGGCTGAACCGCCAGCTCGGGGGCAAATGCTGACGGCGTGCTGGCCGTGCTTGGCGACGGGGCGATTCTGGGGGCCGTTCGCCAAACGCTTGGTTCTTGCTGGCGCGCGCATCTTCGCTGGCGCCCAGCGCCGCGTCGTCGCCGACCCAGTGGCCATGCGTGGCGCGATCCAGATGCACTGGGGCCATGTCGTCTCCGCCGAGACCGTCGACGTCTCCAACGGGATGCGCTACCTTGAAGGGGTCGTTTCACCGCGTGTCCACGTTGATTTACCGAGTCCTCACCTTCGGGGCCTTCGAGGCGCAGCCCGCGAGGCAGGTGGCTCTGCGCCTGGACCTGGCGGCCTTCCCCGCCGCGCGGATGGATCGCCCCCCCCCCCCCCCCCCCCAGCTGCCTCGTATCCCCGGCCGGGCTCTCCCTCTCGCTCGCGAGCGGCGGCGCGATTACTTTCGACCTGGGCTACTCGATGCTGACCGTAATGCCGATATGGGACGAGCCTCTCGGCAACTTCGAATGCGCCTTGTCTCCTGACTGCCTGCGCCCGCTCGCCATGAAGAACAGCGACATCAAGCTCGCCGCCTCCGCCGCGAACCGCGAGAAGCACCGCGGCGCTGCCCGGGCCGCCGAGGATCGGCGGGGCCTCGTCGACGGACGGCAGGTCCTGAACAACGTCGTTAAGGTCGACTCGGTCTTGCGCAAACTCGGTATCACCGAGGGCGCCAGCGAGCTTATGCCATGCTTCGCCAGCGTGGGCACCGCGGCCTCCCCCAGCCTGCTGCATGAATGGCTTTGGGAGGTGCTGGGCGCTGGGGCATCCGCGGGCCCGTGCTCAAGTCGCTGCGCTCCTGCTACCACGTGCCACGCGCGTTTCTCGAGATGGGCGGAGTCTGGCATGCTGTTCTCATTGCCGAGTCGGGCGTCGCTCTGGGCTGCCCACTGAGCGGCGCGTTGTGGGCGCTCATTGCCGACCCGATCATCTGAGCCATCGCGTGCGAGCTAGACCGCATTGGCCGCGGCCTCACCGGTGCATGCGTCGACGACCTGGGCGTGTTCTTGGTCGCGCTACGCGACGTCGAACAGCTTTTCCCGCGCCTCGAAGCTGCTCAACTCTTCGCTGGTCTTCCCGTGCAGGCGAGGGAATGCATCGTCGTTCCGACCTGGACGCATCTCACCCCTCAGCTCACGTAGCAGATGCAGCGGCTCCGGGTCGACTATCCGCCCTGCCGCGACCTCAAGAGAGTCAGCTACGCGAGGTACCTTGACGCGTTCATTGGTCCTGGTGCCTCTCTCTCAACGCAGCGGCAGGGTCCTTCCGGCAAGTGGCGGGGCGGAGTCCATTTCCTCGGGGATGTTCGCTCGCCGTTCCAGCAGAGCATCAAGCTCTACGACGTTGCCGCAGTCACCTGCCTCTCGTGCATTGACCAGCTGTGCCCAGTGTCCACGGGCTACTCCGTGCAGCTCCGTCGAGTTTCGCTGAGATGGGCGTCGTCTCGTTCAAACGCTGGGCGGGGGTATAGATGCCGCTGGGGCTGGAGACCTTGCTCTCGGCTGCGATGTGGCGCGCGGCGGCGAAAGCATTGATGACGTGGCCCTGCCCTCTTCGGCTCTGTCGTGAAGTTAGTGAGGATCGCCTCCATATCTGGCGCAGGTGCGCCGACTGCCGGGGGGGCGAGCTCTTCGTCGCGCAGCGCTTCGAGGTGATTGTGGACAGCCAGTTCTTCCCGACGCGCAAGACGTCGCCCCGCCAGATGCTCGAGCGCTCGCTGGGCGCGCCGGTGCGAGCCAGTCAAGCTTTGGAAGCCTCGCGCCGCCGCGCCGCTGTTGCTGGGCGATTGGCGCTATCGGAAGGGAGTGTTAACAGGGCCCGGTGTCGCGGCAAGCTTCAGGGAAAAGGACAAGTATCGAAGTCGAGGTCTCGTCAACAAGCGTATTTACTTGATTTCCAGAACGACCTCTTTCGCGATGTCTTCGACGGAATAATCATCGAGCGCCTCAAGTTTTGGTTGTAATTACTCGGGCTTCAACGACGTGCTCGACCCGTTAATGAGCTTCGGGGGTGCCAATCCGTTCAGCCAGATCCCGACCCCGAACGATCCATCGCCCATACGAACGAGCGTGCCGAATAATAAGCCTCACGATGGATCGCGGGCGTATTCATTGACCCTAACATCGGCGACTGCACCGACTGAATGGAGTGGTGCATGCCCTACCTGACAGGCGTCTTTCGCCGCCCGCAGTTCGACGACGCGTTCGGCCCTTGTTAAGGCGGCGACGGCCGCTGCCTGACAGTCGTTGACATGTGCGCGAGGAACTGGCGCGCTGCCTTCCGCGCGCGTAGCTGTTGCATCGTGATCTGCCTGGTCGCGCGCCGTCAGTAGCCGCTCGACGAGATCGCGATGGAGAGGCCGCTGAGCACCGTGCTCGCCGCCGCTGGCTCTCAGCAGAGGACATAGGTGATGAATATCGCTGGCTTGCCGGTGACGCTGTGTAGGGTGGTGGCGAGAACCCGCCCTCGGGCATGATTGGCGCCCGCAACTGGCCGTCGTCGTTGTCTTCCGAGTGGGTGGCGCTGCGCCGACATCTGGCTCGAGTGGCGCCTTTGGCGCTATGGCCAGTTTGCGAGACTTTATCTGGGGCGTGGACAACGAGCTACCGCGTGAGCGTCCGCGCGTGCAAGCTCAACAGCGTCTTTGGCTGCCCCGTGGCCAAGAGCAGAGAGGGCATCGACGACGCCGCGCGGTACCTCACTTGCCCGAGCCTGTGGGCTCACCTCTGCCAGCCGCGCGGCATCGCGGCCTCCAACATCCGCCAGCGCATGGGGCCCAACGGCGAGATCCCGAGGTCAGGGTGGGGCCAACCAGGGCAACGTCGTCAGCGAAAACGCTGCGGCTGTCGCCGCCGCGCGCCGTGCTCTGAGGCTGCCCGCTTGCCTCGTGGGCGGCGCGGGGCCGCTCGGTTGCCTGTGGTCGGCTGGATCGCCCCCCTCGGCGGACGTTCGCTCCTTCTGCCTCTCCTTCTTTTTCGTCTTCGCCTCCAATGCCTCCTTCGGGGATTGGCGATGGCGGGGGCGAGGGGTGCGAGGAGGGGGGCTGGGGATTGGGGGCGTGGTCGGAGGGAGGGCGGGGATGGATGGAGCAGGGGCGGCTCTTTGCCGGAGAGCTGTCGTTCTGCCGCGCATCGCGCCCCTGCGCCGCGCGGCAGATTGACTTGGCGAGGATTCCCTCCTTCTCCATGCGGCTTCCTCCCCCGCGCTGTTTCAGGAGGATCTGCTGGCCCTCCTACTTGTGCTCGCTCTCCCCCCTCTCCTGCCTCTGATCCTCCTGTCGCTGCTGCTGCTCCTCGTCCTCGTTTTTTTTGATTGTTGTTTGTTTGTTGTTTTTTGTGTGAGTTTGTTGTTTTTTTATTCGTTTGTTTCCCTTCTTCTTCTTCCCTCCAATTTGGCTTGCCTCAGGGGTTTTGACTTGCTTAAAGCTTGTTTTCTTGGTGCGCTACTTTGCCCGTTTCCCGGAGATTCCTCGGGTTCCCAAGGTTCCAGGGTTCCCCCCCCCCCGCCCCTCCTCCGGTGCTTCGTATTCTGGCGATGCCTGTTTCCCAGAGGTTCCTCGAGTTTCCCAGGTTCCCTCGGGCTCCCCGCCCTGGGTGCCTCCTGTTGTTGCGTTGCCCGTTTCGGGTTCCCCGGGTTCTTCGGGTTCCTTGGGTTCCTGGGGTCCTGGGGTTTGTCGCCCTCGATTGCCCCAAGCAGTGCCAAACAATGCGAAGCAATACCAAGCAGCGCCAAGCAATGCCAAGCATTGCCAAGCCATGCCAGGCAATGCCAAGCAATGCCAAGCAATGCCAAGCAATGCCAAGCAATGCCAAACAATGCCAAGCAATGGCAAGCAATGGCAAGCAATGGCAAGCAATGCCAAGCAATGCCAAGCAATGCCAAGCAATACTAAACAATGCCAAGCAATGCCAAGCGATGCCAAGCAATGCCAAGCCATGCCAAGCCATGCCAAGCAGTGCCTGCCAAACCACGACAAACAATGCCAAGCAATGCCAAACGATGCGCCCAGCGATGCGCCCATGCAATAGGCTTTCCCCTAATTGGGGTCGCGCCAGGTTCATTTTTTCTCCTCTCGGGAAGTGCGTGCAGGGATGGACATTACAGCGTTTCCGGCCTTTCGGCCTGCCCCCAGTGCCTCGTGCTGGACGTCAGGCTAGAACCAAGGTTCGGCAAGGTCCTGCGATTGGCTCTCGATGTCTTTATGGCTTTCTCCGAGTTGGGCAGGGGAAGGGGAGCAAGGGTAAATCGAGGGGTGGTGCGTGTTAGCGGATGAGGAACAAGTTTTGTGATCGGGAGGGATGGGGGGCGGGACGGGACAGGGGACGGGACGGGGAGAGTAGATAGGGAGGGTGTGCTAGGTAGGGGGATGAGGGCGGGAAGGGAGAGAGGGGAGGGGGACGGGGAACGGGAAGGGAACGGGATGAGGCCCGGAACGGAGGGAGGGAGAAGGAGGGGCAGGGGGTCGACATCCGGGGAAGGGAGGGAGGGGACGGGCAGGGGGAGGGGGATGGGGGACAGGGGAAAGGGGCATGGGGTAGGACATGGCGGATGGGGACAGGAGGGCTGGCATGGGAGGGGGATGGGGACCAGAGGAGCCCGAGAGGGGGCGGCGCGGGGTGTCCTCCCAGCCCGTCGGTGCACGCACCGCAGGCAGCGGGTCAAGATCCTCGCCGACGTCGCATCGGGAATGAGGCGCGCGGCCCCGGCCAACTCTCGCTCGCTCGGCTCGGCCACCCCTCGGAGGCACGATGCCGCCGTCCCCAGATATGCAATATCTTGTTTTTTTCCATACGGGGTCCCTGGAAGCTCCGACCCTTCCCCCAGGGCGGCTTTCTCGTCCCCTGTCGTTTTGTTGACGGGCGCGAGGCCCAGGAAGGGCCCTCGGAGGCCGAGAACGGCCAAAGACCCCCGCCGTGTTTTTTGTTTTTTCGCGGCGCGAGCCCCCGGTGCGAGAGCGCGAACACGCAGCCCGCAACCACTGCGCTGGTGCTGCCCTGGGGCTCGGGCGCAGGGCAAACGCCGCAAATCGCCACGTGTGGCGTTCGAGCCCACGGGGGGAGACCCCATCAGCTCAGCAGGCTCGGCCGGCCCTCGGACGCACGAAGCCGTCGTCCGCCTCCGATAGCCTCCCCTCTCGGCGCCTGCGCCCGCCGCACCTCCACGCCGCCGCCGACCCCTCGGGCAGCTCTCGCGGGGGCCCCCGGGCGGGCCCGCTCCCGCGCGCCCGCGGGCGCCAGCCGGGGCCCGGCGGCGCGTGGGCTGGGAGCTTGCCGAGGCCCCAGGCGGAGGGTCCCAGCCAGGAGATGCCTGCGGGTCGTGGTGGATTCTCGGGCGGGCGCGACATCGTGGCCCGCTGGGGTGGCCAGGAGCAGGGCGCGGCCCCGGCGGGAGGGCCGCTGGCGTGCGCAGGGCTGGCGAGCGCGCGCGTGGTTGCCGAGCGGGCGCATAGGCTGCTCTGCACTTTTTCGGGCGGGGGGCGCAAGCGAGGTCGCCGAGCGTGTGCGTGCTTCAGAGGCCCCCCGTGCATGCTCGGCACCTCGAGGCCTCTGCACACCCGTTGCGCTGCCGGCCCTGTGCGAAGCTTTACGAGGCTCCGCGCGCCCCCTCGGAGGGGTCCGAGCGGGAGCCCCAGGGGATCGCGGGCCTATAGGTTAGCACCAACACCCAAATCGGCGGCGCGCCTCCACCGAGGGAAGATGATCCCGACCTCGGTGATGGTGGTAACATTCGGGCTTCCTAGGTGGCCGAATTGTTTTACCACCAACGCCAGAATCTAGGATCACCTCGCTCTCGTGGAGGCAATCCTCTGGATTGGTGCTGGTGCCCATCCCCGCTGGTGCCCATCCCCAGGCATCCAAGGGGACCTCGCTCTCCGTCGAGCAGGGCTCGGCCCTGCTTGCGGTGCGTCGGCAGCTCGGGGCGGGGGCCGCCAGTCGGGCTCTCGATCCACAGGCCGACAGACGGCACGCGCTGGTCGGTCAGGCAAGCTGGGCCGGGAAGGGTGGCGCCCTCCGGCGCCATCTCCTGCTCCTGCCGCTGCTCCCTCCCTCCCTCCCTCCCTCTTCTCTCCCTCCTTCCTCCTCTCTCCACCCTCCCTCGTTCTCTTTCCCCTTCTTCCCTCCTTCCCTCCCTCCTCCCTCCCTCTCTCCCCCACTCTCTCCCCCCCACGACTCCGCCACAAGTGCAGCCACCAGTGACCCAGCCCTTGGGATGAACGCCGAAGGCGGGGCTCCCGCAGCATTCCATTCGCCGTCCCGATCGCCAGTCCCGCGCCGCCGACCCTGCGCAGCGGGATCCGGCAGGCGCGCGCTCTCGGGCTGGAGACGCACATCGAGCCGGCAAAGTCAAGGTGCACGCGTCGATCGCGTCGCTGGTGCCTTGATGTCGGCCGAGTCGCACGCCCCTGCAAGCTCCGCAGGCGTTGACAGGAGGGCTGCTGCAGACCAGGGTCGTCGTCGCTCGACCTCGCCAGTCTCGGCTCCTGCTTCGACGGGACGCCCACGATCCAGCTCCGTGCCGTCGTTGCACGCTCCGGTGTCGGAAAGGTCTCTCAGCAGGACTATAAGAGACGCTGCTAAAATATTCAGGAAGGATGAACCCAGGGGGCAGTGCCTTCGCTCATCCGTGCCATGTCCGCCATCCAGCCTAGAGGCAGACTAGGTCACACGACTACACCAGAGTCTAATTCAGATGACAGAGCGCAGAGTCTAATTCAACCCACCAAGATGAGTGATCTATGAGACTGAAGGCTGAAGATTTGAACGCCTACCTTTCAGCGCTCAGGCGGGGAATGTCTTTTGAGGATGCAGCGGAGTTTGCTCCGGGGCGCGGGCCCCCGTTCCCTCCCCGAGCGGCAGCAATCGGATGAGCCCAGTGCTAAACCCGAGCCGCATACCAAGTCTTCGAGCGAACTCAGTTTCGCCTCAGGGAGACTGCCGCGCTGCAGTGTTTGCTGAGACTCCACTTGGCCTGTATCTGCAAGCAGTTCGGGGCCTTGCAACCAGGCCGCGTGCCGCCCCATCGAGGTCCGCTCTCAGTGCGCGCACTGCCACGACCGCACACGGGACGGCATGTGGCGCAGCCGTTCTTAGCGCTAGGCCTTGAAAAGATTCGTATGCGGGGCGTGCTGGGTACAGCAGTTGACGTCTGATGAGCAGAATGCCTGGGCTGATTGCCTCTGGTTCGCTGGGCGGTCAAAGAATGCCCTGCATTCATTCCCGAGTCGTCCCTTAGCAACTAGAAGGTTCTTACTGTGGGACGCTCTCCATCCGCAATGGCGCTCTCGCCTCGGCGCCGGCTGCACTTCTTTCGGAAATTTGGCTCAAGCTCAGGCGTTTCGGGATTGCGCCGAAACCGGCACCCCCATCAACAACAATGCTCCCGCTCGATACTTCCTCCTTTTCTTCTCGGGACTGGGGCTCTTGCTCGCCGCTCCCGCCTCGGCGCCGCAAGCGGCCCCCCCTGCAAGCAACGACGTTCCGTTCGGTACTTCTTCCGCTTTTGCTCATGACCCTCAGAGGCCCTGAGGCCTCCCCTTGTCCACGTTGAATCTTCATCAGAATTTCGAACATCATTATTGTGGGACATCCTGCATCCGCACTGGCGCTCTCGCCTCGGCGCCGGCTGCACTTCCTTTGAAAATTAGGCTCACGCTCAGGCTGTTCGGGGCTGCGCTGAAACCAGCCTCCCAACAACAGCAGCAACAACAGCAACAACAGCAGCAACAGCAACAACAACACCACCAACAACAACATTGACAACAGCAGCAGCAACAGCAACAACAACACCACCACCAACAACAACGCTTTCGCTCGATACTGCCTCCTTTTCTACTCGGGACTGGGGCTCTAACTCGCTGCCGAAATCCGGCTTTCCCACAAAACTGGCGCTCCTTTGTTTTTACTCAGGCCCGGTGCTCCCGCGTCTGCGCCGCAGACGACCCCCCCCTGCAAGCAGCAACGCTCCCGTTCGATACTTCCTCCGCTTTTGCTCAAGACTCCCAAAGGCCCTGGGGTTCAGTCCCTAGTGCCGATCCTCAAGAATCCAGCATACACTGTCGGAGCCAGGGGCGGCCCGAGAGCCCGCGGCGGCGACCCCGTCGTCGTCGTCGTCGTCGTCGTCGTCGTCGTCGTCGTCGTCGTCGTCGTCGTCGTCGTCGTCGTCGTCGTCCCTCTCCTTTTCCTCCTCCTCCTTCTCCTCCTCCTTCTCATCCCCACCCGACTACTAAGTAGTCGGTTCGCTGGATGCGAGGGTTCCTTCCAAGGCCCTAGTAGTCCAATAGCCCTCCTTCTCCTCTTTCTCCTCCACCTCCTCCTCCTCCCTCATGGTCTTCCTTCCTCCTGCCTCCTCCTCCTCCTTCTCCTCCTCCTCCTCCTCTCCTGCTCCCTCCTCTTGTTCGTTCCCCGAGGCTCAGACGCTCCTCCGATCCAAGCCTTTTCCTAAAAGTCCTTACCGAAATCCTCCAGTTCAGTTTGAAAGCGTCTCCGAGGGACCATCCTGTTGCTTCAGGGTTTCGGAAGCTTCTCTGAGAGGCTCTGGGGGCTGTCCAAGGGGCTCCAGAGGCTGTCCAAAGGGCTCTGGGGGCTCTCCCAAACGTTGTGGGGCTTCTCTCAGGCGATGTGCCATCCGGGCTGGAGATCTTGAAATGCCGCGGAAGAGGTGTGGTCAAGGCTTCCTCGGGCAGGAGATCTGGGTAAGGTAGTATCGGATCCCCCTTGTGCAATACCATATCCCCATGCTGGGGGGAGCTTTCATGATGGATGCATGCTGCGTGTGTGTACACACATATATATATATATATGTACATTCATAGAGCATTCGGGCACAACGGATGTTGTTGTTGCGGTAGTAGTAGTAGTAGTAGTAGTAGTAGTAGTAGTAGTAGTAGAAGTAGTAGGAGTAGTAGTAATAGTAATGTTAGTAGTAGTAGTAGTAGTAGTAGTAGTAGTAGTAGTAGTAGTAGTAGCAGTAGTAGTAGTAGTAGTAGTAGTAGTAGTAGTAGTATTAGTAGTAGTAGTAGTGCTAGTAGTAGTAGCAGTACTAGTGGTAGTAGTGGTAGTAGTAGTGCTAGTGGTAGTAGTAGTAGTAGTAGTAGTAGTAGTAGTAGTAGAAGTAGTAGTAGTAGTAATAGTAGTAGTAGTAGTAGTAGTAGTAGTAGTAGTAGTAGTAGTAGTCGTAGTATTATTAGTAGTATTATTATTCGTAGTAGTAGTAGTAGTAGTATTAGTAGTA